TTGCACATTGACAACTTTGCAATTAAAGTGATTAATGATGTGCCCTAGTGTTTATGGGTCCTAAGGTCAGTGGGTCCTAAAGTGGCTATGCTGTGGGAAACTTAGCTCAAGCTCATCCCATAGGAGATGAGCCAAGCCCCTCCTCTTTTCTCTATGATTGTTGAGAAGTTAAATATATTAGATAGGATTAAATGTATTAGACAAGATATTTGTATAATAGACATAATTGGTAATATAAATAATCTCTACCAGCCTACTTCTGTTGCCTAATCCTTCATTCTTAAACATGAACTTGAAACTTCATTGGCTACTTTATTAATGGAAAAATGTTACTATGTAAATCGGTTTAAGAAAAACATGCATTAATTACAGTAAATACTAGTTAAAAGCTATGTAAGTGTAGCTCCATTTGTTGGGCATGCTTAGGTTGAAATTTTGCTTGATTCTTTTGAAGCTAATGTATGATGAGCTTTATTTATTCTATTTTTCTATTTGTTGTTCTAACTAGGACATAACAGTTCTGGATTTGAATAAATCTATTATAACTCATATCTCCTTTCAACTGTTCACCTAAGAATTCTGAAACTGGTCGTAATGTATAAGGGTTTTTTAAAATTTTTATTTGGGAACTTTTTTTTATTAAAACCAAGCAACTTTGAAAAGATTGTTCTAGCCACACTGGTGGCTTTGTTCTTTGGATTCCACAAACTGGTGATATTAGTGAGCTAAGTCACTGGTGTCTCACTGTCCTGGCTAACTACTGTGCAGAGCTGCCCACCAAGGGGAGAGAGAACAATGAACATATTGTGAGCCTGTGGCACGAAGCCACTGCCAGGATCCTTACTGATTTGAAACTCACACACTCACCAGTGTCCTGTGATGATTACTGTAGTTCAAAGAGAGATACATTATCACATCGTGATTTGAAGGAAAAAAAAGTAGGAATAATGTTATAATTACACCTCAGTTTTTTTTTAAAATTTAATTTAATTTTATTTGTGAACATACTGTACAGAGGGGTTACAATTACATGGGCAGGATAATGCGTACATTTCTTACCAAGCATTGCAGCCTACACCTCAGTTTTTAACTCTTTACTAATTTAAATAGCTTTTTAAAAATTAGTCTTCTTAAATGTAATCTCTGACATTATTCAGGGTTTAAAGAAAGAAAAGATAATTAGAAGAAATTTTACCTTAACAAATGCTTCTCCTTATTTATATAAAAGGACTTTCTCCCCAGGAAATGTTCCAAATAGACATATTCCAGTTTGCTGAAGGAAATTGAATTTTCTTCTTTAAACATTGGTTGAATCATATTCTTATCTTTGAGTATCAAACATACAGTTCAAGAACATACTAGATGAGTAAGATACTTTGCATAAACAAAGGCTTTAAGAATTTAATGACAAATATTTGAGCCATTTGTAGGAGACTTCAGTGGACATTTTAGACTTTATAAAGATTGGTTCTTTTAAAAAATATTGTTTGTAGGGTGTGTGTGTGTGAGTGTGTGTGTGCGCGTGTGCTTTACTGGGATTTGAACTCAGGGCTTTACTCTTTCTAGGCAGGTTCTGTTCTTCCTGAGCCATGCTTCTAGCTTGTTTTTCTTCTGTTTTGGGATAGAGTTTTGCTTTATGCCCAAGTTAGCGTGGACCAGAGTTTCCTATTTACACGTATCCTTTACAGCTGGGAAGTACATCACCATTCCCAGCTATTGGTTGATCCAGGGTCTTGAAAACTTTGTTCTTGAGATGTCCTCAAATGGTGATGCGCTCAATTTTTCTCACTCTCTCCCCCACTTTATCTCTTTCTCTCCCTCTCCCCACCCCACAATACCTAGGATTATAGCAATGAGTCATTGGTGTTTAGTTAAATAGTTCGTAAAAATAGCCAGGTGTGGTGGTACACAGTTGTAATTCTAGCTAACAAGGCAGAGGTAGGAAAATCAAACAATACCCTCCCCCCGCCCCCCCCCCCTGATAAATTGACATGTAAGACACCTTCTTCTCAAAGCTTAATGATTCTGTCTCTTTTCCATTTTTTTTTTTTTTTTTGCTTATGTGGTGCTGAGGAATCGAACCCAGGGCCTCGAGCATGCAAAGCAAGTGCTCTACCACTGAGCCACCTTCCCAGCCCCTATGATTCTGTCTCTTTTGATGGTCAGAATTAAAAAGAGAGAGAACTTAATTTTGTCTCATCCAGTATCAACTATTTTCCAATCTGTTTTTCCTACCAAAAGGTGTTTGTGTAATGGACTCACTCCAGGATTTTGAGAGCATGTTTCCAGTCTTTCCCCTAATTGTTCATCTGCATTTGTGAGAATGTCAGAAGAAAAAATGGGCATGCGTCCACATTTGAGATTTAAATTCTGTGAATTCAAAATTTCAATGTTTTCAGAGAATTTTTACTTAATAAAGTAGTGAGGATTCATTGTTTTTCTATGAATTCTCAACAAAATAAGTTGGTTTCACTCCAAAATCAATGAAACTGTTCTGGGGCCTGTGGAGGATTTTAATACTAATATCTATGTATCCATTCAGTCCATGAGGATTGAACCCAGGGCCAAATGCTCTGTTTTTGAGCTATATTCCTAGCCTTAAAACTTAAAGAGTCAGCACCAATAAGAAACTGAGAAGGGTTGTTTTCATAGACATATAGAGTCTTACTTAGTTTGGTAACATCTAGTGACTATTAGATACTCTATTTCTGGTTTTCAGAGCTAAGAATGGAACCCAGGGCTTTGTGCATGCTAGGCAAGTTCTCTACTCTGAGCCAAGTATTATATTCGTTTTACAAGTTAGTGGGTTTTTTTCTTGAGTGGATTAAAAACTAGCATCTATTAGAAATTATTAGTTTATTAGTTGTTACATCTTCTATACATGTTTACAACTATATTCCAAGAGCTTTTTCCCCTTCTATCACTCCCTCTTCCCTCATTTCCCCTTCCCAGAACAATTTAAAAAGGATTCATTGGTCTGTTTTCATAGTTGCAAATAGTCTATTTCAACTGTATTCATCTTCTTTCATCCTCATTATTAGCCTAACCCCCTCCTCCTACTACTCACATCCCCAGATTGTTTTTATGTTACTAGAAATGGTCCATGTACCTCAAATGTCCAGACAAAAAAGAAGAAATAAAGAAATGAAAGGATACTGGCTTCTTTGTTTTGGAAAATGTTCAATAGTATATTGGGTAGTTTTAATATTTAGATCTTTGTGATTACAACTTCTTGTGAAATTTCAATGAAAGGAAGATTTCCACTGTTTGGTGCTTGAACATTTTTTTGTTATAATAATCCTGTAAACTAAAAGATAGATTGCCTGTTGAGAGTGTACATGAGAATTCTGTAACTGTACTGAGTATAACCTGTACTCCAGTATTTGAATGTTAGCATTCATTGTGGCCTTTTCTTACCTTAGCTCATTGTTTAGTCAGTGCTTGCCACAGCTAGCCAAATTAGTTGTTATTGGAAAATTGAGTTGCTGCTAATAATGTTGATCAGAGTTCAATGCTAGATTATGCTCCTGAAGACCCAATACATAGCAATAGTGTCTTCTGTGTGTGATATGTTGCCATGATAATAAAACAGTTCATGTTTTATGCAGTAAAATTATTATGGCTTAATAATCATCTACTATGTTTATATTTTGTGAATTCTAAACGATTTTTTTGTTCTTGTACTGGTATGAGAGGAATCAAATAGCTTTTTGAAATATTAAAAATAATATGTGCTTTAATATTGAGTAAATAGCTTTTAAATCATGAGAGACTTTTCTGATCATTTTGTTAATATCTTTGAATATAGCCAGAATTTTGTTTTGATTGTGTGGGACTGAGGCTGAAACTTGAGGCCAGGGCACTGTTCCTTATTAGTTCTTTTGCTCAAGGCTGGTACTTTACCCCTTGAGCCACAGCTCCACTTCTGGCTTTTTTTTATAGTTTAGTGGAGATAAGAGTCTCAAGGACTTTCCTGCCTGGGCTGGCTTTGAACTGTGATCTGCAGATCTCAGCCTCCTGAATAGCTGGGATTACATGTGTGAGTCTCTAGCATTTGGTTTTGGTTGTGTGTGTGTGTGTGTGTGTGTGTGTGTGTGTGTGTGTGAATGTGAATTATTGGTGTTAATTACCTCACAGAAATAATTTTTTAGTATATATTTTTTATTGTAAAGATAAGAAATAATTTTCATCTCTTATGAGATAATTACTCCAAACCAATTATTGTTACTACTTAGTTTGTGATATCTAAAAAGGTACCCAGTACAAAGAAAAATCATAAATTAAAAATAAGAATTCACTTGAATTTGTAAAATATGAAAAGTTGTATACATAGACTTTCATCTGGCTTTCTTTTTTCTCTCCGCCACATTCATGACTAATGACATGGTATGTGTCAGGCACTGTGCTAAGATGTAGATCCAAATGGGTCAGGGTCATTGCCTTTATGGAAATTAGATCCTAGTGGAAGAATTCCCAGTTTAGTTTATGCATAGCAAGTACATTAACTTGTATAAACTTTTAAGAAAAGTACAATGTAGATTATTCATTCAAAAACTCAGTTCAACTAGAATGTGAGTGACCTAATATCCTGTGGACATGTTCATAGATGTTGGAGAAAAGGGAGACACTGATGGAGACTGGATTCAAGTGAGACTCAAGGAGAAGGATGTCATGTTTATTATACTTTACTTTAAAGGTATAGGATGACTTTAACTTAAAGATGAAACATTGGATTGGTATTTATTTTTTCACAACTAGAGGCTAGTAATGAATACCTGGTGCGTAAAGATACTGAGTCTTGCAATATCTGGCTTGCCATGAACTAGTTAGAAGATGGTGAAGAGTTAGAACTATGAATTATAAACATACATATGAAAAAATAAGCATACATATGATGATGATTTAGCATATAGTGATAAAACCCCACTAATAAGAAATTTGTAAATATATAACAATTCATGTTCTTAAAATTTTTTTCTCTCCTTTTCCCTTCCCCCCAGAGCATCTGCTACATCCAAGCCTGAGCCAGTTACTGTTCAGAAGGTACGTTTCTAATCACTATGCTACCATTTGATTGCCTCTCCTGAGACATTGTGATTTCTGTTTCTGTCTCAGGGTACTGACATTTAATTTATAGTCTTAATACAGTTTTCTCTTTCATGATTCTTTTCCTTAAAAGATAAAAAATTAAAGTGGAAATAAACACCTTACCATATGTAATTATACTTACATAATGTTATTTCTAAAGCTATACATTACCAATAACTTATATTTACTTTTGATTTTTCTACTTTTAATCATGTGTTTGTTTTTTTTTTTTTTTTGGTCGGCCGTGGGGCTTGAACTCTGGGCCTGGGCGCTATCCCTCAGCTCTTTAGCTCAAGGCGAGCACTCTACCACTTGAGCTACAGTGCCACTTCCGGTTTTCTGGTGGTTTATTGGAGATAGGAGTCTCACGGTCTCTTCTGCCCAGGCTGGCTTTGTACCTCGATCCTCAGATCTCAGCCTCCTGAGTAGCTAGGATTACAGGTGTGAGCCACCAGTGCCCAGCTTTTAATCATGTGTTTTTAAAAAGAATAAATAAGTAGTTACCCAAAATGAGACTGGGAGTCTTAATAGCATCCAGTCTTGCATTCATGGTAGCCTTTATCAGGTCTTTAATTTATGCTTTTTGATGTTTTTAATACATCACTATTTTTGGAAATTCATTGATTTATTTATTTACCTATACATCAAATTACTTGCTTTCCTCGGTTACTTTTCGGTTTTGTAGAATGTTACCTTTCAAAAAAATACACAAATACACATACTAGAGTTACCACTGTTTATTTTCTTAAGTTTTTCGTTAGTTTTCTTTTGGAATGGTAGTGTAAGGATTTTTTCTTCAATATTATAGAAGCTTACTCTGATTTCAAAGAAAATGAACTTTGAATATGCTGTGGGATAAGGATTTACAACACAAATTCTGGTAATTTTTGTAGGAATTGATTTTTATTACTAGCTTTGGCTGCTGATAAAGAGGGAGTATCTCTAAGATAATTATTTTCCTCAGAAGATTATTAAATATTTATTTTGGAAAAGGGAAAGAATGTTATTGTTTCTCTGAGTCATATCTTAAATCATTCAGAGAAACATAACTGGATTAAGGGAGAAAGGAAGGGTTGATTTTTTTTAAATTTTGTTTGTAAATTCTTGATTCAAAATAACTAGAATGTGCTCATATCTGAGTTCAGATGGAAATCATCTATTCTTTACTTTGTTTTTTAATTGAAAAGTTTTAAATGTACTGCTTCTTCATGAATCAAGTAATTGCACTGTGGAAAGAAGTGACAGATGTTTAAAAGATGAATTATAATTGATACATATTCTAAAACATTTCAATTAGCAAATTTATATTCTTTAGAATATATCTAAATTGATAGTGTTATGGTGGCCTACAGGCTTTTCAGTAGTTTTTTTTTTTTTCTGCTTGGTTTCCTAAATGTTTTGGATCTTCTTTCATTTTCATAAATGAAAATATGCTTCTTGTTTGCATCTGTGCTGTGCATGTGTAGAACAGTTAGCATGCATGCTATGCTGTTTCAACTCATTGTTTTTCCTGGAAATGTAACATTTGAGCTGCCAATGTGATTGTGTTTGTCTTTTACAAGTCAGCTGTGTGTTTGCAGCGAATATATTTTGCATGTATTTGGTATGTTTTGTGTATATGTTTATTTTTATTTCACATAGGGAGAACCTAAAGAAGTAGTTAAGCCTGTGCCCATTACATCTCCTGCTGTGTCCAAAGTCACTTCCACAACCAACACGGCCTACAATAAGGCACCTCGGCCCTTTGGTTCTGTGTCTTCACCAAAAGTCACCTCCATTCCATCACCATCGTCTGCCTTCACCCCAGCCCATGCCACCACCTCATCACACGCTTCCCCTCCACCTGTGGCTGCTGTCCCTCCTCCCCCCTTCTCTGCATCTGGACTGCATGTTAATGCCAACCCTAGTGCTGACCAGTGTTCTTCTGCACTGAGCACGGGTAAAACTGCAGTTAATGTCCCACGGCAGCCCACAACCACCAGCGTGTGTTCCGAGCCTGCTCAGGAGCTAGCGGAGGGACAGAGAAGAGGATCCCAGGGTGACAGTAAACAGCAAAATGGGTAGGTGGCCAAGGGGGCTTTTGCTCTTACCAAAACTCTTCTTTCAGGTATTTCCAGGAAACACTTAGCCTCAGGCCCTCCAGTCAGCTGTTTCTTGAAGGAAGCACCTTCTGCAAAGCAGTTATAGGTTAATCAAGCCTAAGTATGCATTCTAATGCGTTCTGATCACGTCACATACCTTGTAACTCTTTCCTCCGCATCCTGACACATTCAGCAGCTGGCACTTATAATGCAAAGCAAAGTGTGGACCTTTCTTTTTTAAATTTTCCATGCTTTCATTGGCTACATAAAACTTAAAAAGTGGATTATAGTTATTCTCTTATGGATGTCACCTTAAGAAGAGAAAAAAAAATAGAATTTGTAAGGCTCTTTCCCACTGGAAAGTAGTTGAGAAAACAGAAAAAATAACGAGTTAACTTTTGACTTGGATCTATATATGAAGGATCAGCTTAGAGCAAATAGCTTATATGTCTAGAATGTTTGTTGGAAATGAACTTTACTATTTGGGCGGGGGAGTCGGGGCAGGGAAAATGGGAGAAAAATGAGGGAGGAGGTAACAGTGTTTGATAAGAAATGTACTCATTATCTTATTTATTAACTGTAACCCCTCTGGAAATCACCTTTACAATAATATAAAATAGAAAGCAATCAGTAGGGATAAAACAATAAGGGATGTTTCAAGCATTCATAATCTTTCATTTTGAGGGATGTATTTTTTTTTTTTTTTGGTCCGGTCATGGGGCCTGAACTCTGGGCCTGGGCACTGTCCCTCAGCTCTTCAGCTCAAGGCTAGCGCTCTACCACTTGAGCCACATTGCCACTTCTGGCTTTTTTTTTTTTCTTTTTGCTTATGTGGTGCTGAGGAATCGAACCCAGGGCCTCAGGCAAGCGCTCTACCACTGAGCCATCTTCCCAGCCCGAGGGATGTAATTCTTAAGAATTATTTCAACTTGCTTAAAAAATTTGAGCCCTACCTTTATAGGAATATATCTTCATCAGCCTTCAGTTTTTAGATGGTTGTTGTGGTCTTTTTGACATTCAGTGAAGTTACTTTAAGGCAGTCATTTAGTTAAAAATCACTTTGATTAGATGGATTGCGACATGAATGAACTTTAAAAGTAAAGTAATCTGCACATGTGATCATTCTCACCAATGCCAGTCTGCAGGAAAATATAATTAAAATAATTGTGTGGCTAGGTCTTTGTCATGAGCTCTAATCCCTTCTGAGTGTTGATTCAGGGAATGAAGAGGCTGTGCCTTCTCTAGCCCCGCTGCCATGGTAACTTGGGGCCTTGAAAGAGGTGGCAGGACTCCAGGCTGCTGTTGGGAGGGAACAGGAGCTCTGGGAGGGAGACCAGTTACTGGGTTGTACGGAGGGCTTTCTGCTTGTGGGTAGCTTTTTAAAGTCTTTATGTGTGTTAAGGAAAACTAGAGCCCTTCAAAGAATATTATTTCTTCTTTCATGGAAGGAAGAGAAGGCTATGCAGCATTGAGCTGTGTTTATTTTTATTTCTTATTTTCTCTATGTTTACTTTAAGGCACTAGATTTTAGAGTAATCAGAGTAGATAATCTGAAAAGAAAGATGCTGCCTATTAAATCCTAGCCCCACCGGAAACAGAAATGGTTTACTGTGTGTATGAAGTTCCACTGTTAGTAGAGAAAAAAGGTAGTAGTGTCTTAAATCATCTTTCCCAATTAGCACTTCTTAAAATTTCACTGGAAAGTCTCCCTAATGGAAAACTGTAGTGGTCAAAGCAGATTGAAGTTATGGAAAAGCCCTAGGTTAAAAAAAAAAAAGCTTCAGTTTTGTGTTTTATAAGCACAGGTTGGTGATTAAACTTGAAATGACTTAAAGCGTATTTTCGAGCTGAAACCGGGTAGTGTTACGGTTCCAGGGCTTTTGAGGTGGCTTCTTAGTCTGGAGTGTTTATTAAGCTCTGGCTTGGTATACAGCACTGTGCAGAATCTAAGAGAAAAGGAGTTTGTTACATGTTTTGCATCATTAACAAGCAAGTTAATGCCAACTGTATGTGTTTTAAAATAGCTTGATTTCAAATGTTGTCCAGATGTTAGGACAATGAAAACACAATTATTCCCCCAAACCAATTAGGGTGTCTTTTAAAGACACATTTGCTATGTTCTTTCCCTCACTACCTTTAGATTAGAGAAATAAAAATTAAATCACTTACTAGCCAGTGATATCAGCTTGAAGAGCAGGTGTTTTATGATATTTATGAATCTTTTCCTGCAACAAGTATCAAACTGATTTTCTCTTCAACTTTTTGTTGTTGTTGTTGGTCGTGGGGCTAGACCTGTGGGTCTGGGAGCTGTCTCTGAGCTCTTAAGTTCAAGGTTAAAGCTCTACCACTTGAGCCACCGCACCACTTCCAGTTTTCTGGTGGTTAATTGGAGATAAGAGTCTCAGAGAGAGAGTCTCACAGACATCCCTGCCAATGGCTTTCAACTGCAATCTTCAGACCTCAGCCTCCTGAGTAGTTAGGATTACAAGTGAGCCACCAGTGCCCGGGTCTCTTCAGCTTTTTACAGTTGTCTTTCCCAGGTTTTTATAATGTTAGCAAATATAAAACTCTTGCGAGTTGTTACTTTTTATGAATTACTTTTATTGAAACAATTCATATTAGTAACCAAAATTTTAAGAGTTGGGAAAGATGTAAAGTCAAATACTTCTCCTGGCTTTACCTTAATCCAGTAGGAAGATGGCTAATATTTAGTGATTGAAAGTAGCAGGCTAGTATGCCAATTTTTTAGATACAGATGTATATGGGACAAATAAACATAATCATAAATAAGTTATTAGTTAAACACTATTACTAAGAAAGAATTATCCAAGTTTCTTATTAAGTAGGATAGACTCGAAATTATATTGATATTTTAAGAATATTTCATGATGATGTAAGCGTTCAACTTTTCCTTCTTGTAATTAATAATGATTAAGGCACTTTAGGAAATTTAAGCCTTTTTTCTACAAAGCATTGCTCTGAGCATTTACTACTGAATGGGATTTTATATCCCAAACTAGAAGAGCAGCTGTCTTTAGCAGACTACTTTTCTGTTTCCACATGTCCTTGCATTGTAATGTGCCGCTGCTTCTAGGAGGTAAGTCTTTGGTATTTGATATTAATTTCAATTTTGTTTGGACTGAAATTTCTTCTAACAGTTTCTATGTATTTTGAAGAATCTGCCTTTTGGAAAGTACAAGAGACGGTGATATGTAGTAATATTTCAAAATACTTTTCTTTTTGCAGAAAACACATGTGACAAAGTTAGTATTCACATTACTGGAGAGGAAATATGGTGATTTATATATGAGTAAACAGCATGAATGCCTGATTTTTGCAAAATTAAATTTTGCAAAAGTTGCTGTAGTTTACAATAACCACGTACAGTGTTTTTAGTCAGTTTGATTTGCATTGCTGTGTTGTGATGAATTGCTTTACAGTAATACATAGGAGTATTTAAGTGATGTCATGAAATACATGTGGAGGTTTGCTGTGTAATGCTTGGAAAGAGGCCATGTGTAAGAAATGCAGTTATTATCAACAGAGACTACTAGAAGACAAAGATCAGAGTGGAGAGAAAGCACAATCATTTGTACTTCCAGTAAATAGCATATATAAAATAAGTTGATTACAAATTAATATCAAAAGCTAGTATTTCATAGTTTTCTAACACTTTCCTTGATTTGCCTAAATTCAAGCACTATGACTAGCCAGTTTAGTTTTGTATATGTAGATAATAGAAAATCTATATAATCTTGAAATTAGTCAAGTGAGATAATTGTGAATTTATTAAATGTCTTACCTAGTTGGCATAACCATTCAAAAATCACTATGATATAGTTTTCAAATTTGGCTTTTGTACATGTTCATATTGACATTAAACTGCTAGTGATTACTTTAAAAATAAAGCAATAAGCTGATAATACCACTTTAGATAAGAGCTTAAAGTAATTTTGTATCAATTAACTTGTTATTCTGCACACATACAGAAATTTCCTCATTATACTATAAAGTAGAATCAGGAATACAGAAGGCAAATCTTGAAATATATATATATACACCCTCAAAATTAACTACTGAAATATTAGAGCAGCTTCTTTATAATTAGATTGATTTTACCATATAATTTCATTTTATATACATAATTATATTGCACTCCAGTATGTCCTCCAGCTTTTGTCTCTTTAAAGTTAACTTATACATAACAACTACACAGTTACTAGATTCTAGTGCAAACAGTTTGATTTGAATAAGGGGAAAAGGGATTTAAAAAACTTAATTTAGGCATTTAAGTTAAATGGAAATTTTTAAAATTAAAGATTCAGATTCATTCAACTATTAATGAATTATTGGGCTGGGTGCTGTAATCCTAGTTACTCAGGAGGCTGAGATCTGAGGATTGCGGTTCAAAGCCAGCCTGCGCAGTAAAGTCCGTGAAACTCTTACCTCCAGTAAACCACCAGAAAACTGGAAGTGGCTCTGTGGCTCAAGAGGTAGAGCACTTGCCTTGAGCTGAAGAGCTGAGGGACAGCTCTGGACAGACAGGTCCAGAGATCAAGCCCCATGACCAACAAAAAATTTTAAAAAATAAAAGATTATTATTTATCAGTGATAATACATTACTAGTGATGTATTATCATTAATGATATATATTGTTATATATGATTATTATATATAAGATGCTATATTGTAATACATCCTTAATATATCAAATTAATATAGCAATAATATAGCAATTAATGGTAATATAGTGGTAAATAATATTTATTAGTTTGCTATTCTTTGTACTGGGTTTCTAAATACATTGTATGATCTACTTCTCATTTGAACTGAATTCTGAGGCATTACATAATTTTCCTAAGTCACCTGTCATGTTGAGTGTATAGTTAAGATTTAAGCCTAGGTCTTTTGAAGCCAAATCTTGATTTGTCTTTCATGGTGTCACTTGTTTGTGGCTTGGGCATACTCCTATTATTTTGAGTTACCATTTATTTTTAGTTTCAATTGATTTGAGGCTATATGAAGGAATTCATTGACATTAGTTAATTGTTAGATTTGTGCTAAAACAGTTTATTTCCAAAGTTCCTTCAAATATTTTAAACATAAACCCTTATAAGACATTTGAAGGATAGAAGTGCAGTATTTTGAAGTGTTGGGAGAAGAAATATTTTGTAAATTAACTTTGTCAAAGCTTGAAGGGACATGGGCAGAATGACTAGGATCAGGTCATCTGGCTGTCACATTGACATGTCTGCTACTGTTGTATTTCCTCGAATATTTGAAGCATGTTGATTGACTCAGTCTTCCTTACATTGGAAACCCTTCATAGAACATTTCTTCTGTTTTTGGTCAGTTATGAGGCTTGAACAAACAGCTTGGACGCTGTCCCTGAGCTTTTGTGTTCAAGGCTAGCACTCTACTAATTTGAGCCACAGAAATGCTTCCAGTTTTGGGGTGTTGAATTGGAGATAGGAGTCTCATTGGCTTCTCTGCCTGGGTTAGTTTCAAATTGTGATTCTCAGATCTCAGCCTTCTGAATAGCTAGGATTACTGGCATGAGCCACCAGCGCCTAGCTTTCCCTCCAACTTTATACTGACATAAAACATTTCCCTTCAATTTAAAAATACTTAAATTTCCATCTGAAAGTTGACTCTTTTCAGGAGAGGTTATTTTATGTAAGTATTTCTCTACTACTTAAAATAGCAAGGCAGAGTAGAGAATGCTTTATACTGTGACTTAAATGACTACAGAAAATACAGGAGAACTTTTGAGATGAACTTATTCCTGAATCCCATGCTCATGTGGTAGAAATAGTCAGGTGTTGAGTTTATGAAATTGACTTTGACATGTGGGAATATAGCAACACCAATCAGTCTTAATATTAAAATTGATAGGCAGTGTTTTCTATGTTTATAATGAATTATTATTTACTCTGAATACTCAGAATTGAAGCATGCACTATAATGTATACATAAACTATGACGTTTATACTTTATTCTCTATAAGGGAATGCAAATGCATTTGCATTTTAATAATCTTACTCTTATTAATTAGAGAAATATACTTGCAAGTTTTCTGTCTTTGGGTATTATCACCCAAGTCCCTTCACTATTTCAAATCAGGTGGACCTTTCTAGGCAACAATTATATCACTGATAATGCAACATGATGTAGTTCCCGCTTATTAGATCTCAAGTTCCAAACCTTGCTTTGGAGTGAGGGTGGCGTTAAGGAGAGTAGGCAAGGGTATGAGAATTGAGAGAAAGTAATTTTTCCTGGTCCTCTGTGCTTGTGCTTTGTTTTTAGCCCTTCATTTAGGGGAAAATACTCAAATAGTTTTTCTCAATGTTTGTAACTTAATTTATGTGATTACCCTTACACTGAATAGCTACACTTTTATAATATGAGACTGGAAGTTTTTTTTTTCCTTTTCTGATTTTAACAGTGACTTTCAAAGTTCTCTATTTCTACTTGTTAAATGACTTCATTCTTTGCCTTTTGTAAGGAACGTAACAATTTATATGCCCACTAAGATGAATTCTATATAGATTTTATTATGGATTATTTTTAGTAGGTAGATCTTGCTTTTCAATAACTTGAAACTTTAACCAGTACTAATGAATAAAGTAGTTTTTGTGTTGAAAGGGTGGAAACTAGTAAAAGTGCTGTCCAAGCTTATCAAATCATAACCATGTTAGCAGAATTTTAACTAACATTTGTATGTGTTTGTCTATATTTATATGATTACTTTGAAGCATGTTTTTTGTGTATTGTCCTCACTTAAATTCTTTGCTTTGAAATTTGCTGTTTCAATTTTTTTCTTTCTTTTCTCCCTAATCTCTGTTTTCCATCATCCTGGACATATTCATATCTCTTCTATCACATCTTCATTGTGTGTATTTTCCGTCTACAGTAACCCTGGTACCGTGTAAGTACTTAACTCCTGGTTCATTTTGTGATTTTCATGATTGTCCCTTTGTAACTTTTAATCTTGCTTTCCATTTACTGTCATCAACAAATTCTTGTTACTGTCATCTCATCCCCCCCAAAATTTAAGGAGCATATGAAACATATTTTTCATGCTGAAGAACTTCTTATAAATACATATGCATTTGGTACACCAACACCTAGGCAGTGGAAAAACTTCAGAGGCTAATTTAGGGGATAAATATTATGTGTACTCAAGTGAGAGATATAATTTGGACCTCCCTTCTTTAATACTTTTTTAAAATTTAAATTGTTATTTTAAAGGTGATATACAGAAGGGAGTTACAGTTATATAAGTGTATGTTTTTAACTTTGAAGGAACTTGCTAATTTTGAATGTCAGTATTTTGTAGTGAATTACATCTGCTATTTTGTGAACAAATATTATCGATTCTGTTCCTTTACATATGCAGATGACCCATAATCTTGGCTAATGCACTGCATTTACTTTTCTAGTCATCATTAAAGAATATATGATGAGGATCATTATTGTGCGTTAGGAGCTGTGGGAAGTACTTTACATACATTATCTGTTTTATTTATTCCACAGGGCCATCTTTAGGGTGCAATTTCCATTTCTCAAATGGAAAAACAGACTTAGAGAGTGAAGTGATTTGCATAAAGCACATTGAATGGAGGATGTAGTGCTCAAAACTTCATCTGTCTGACTCTAAGTCTGTTATTAACTGCAAACCTATTTTATTCTTCATTGGGGAGAAACTCCATTGTACTGGAGTTTTTATAGTGTAACTATCCACATGACAACGGTCATATGACATGTTAATACACTATGATTTTCTAGCAGTGAATTAAAACTTGTAGGTCCTGCCACCCACATCTGCCCACATTTAGAACACTTTCTTTACTCAGAGCTTCTGCCAATAGTCTACTAATTAAGACATTCTTTTTTCTCTTCTGAACTTCAATTTATAGATTGTAGCAGATTTTTTTGTCTTATTTAGATGGGAGAGAAGTGGAGAATATATATTATGTCCTTAAAATGTTGAAGTAATATAACTTGTAAATCCCTTAATATATACCATGTTCACAGAAAGAAGTGAATGTTAGCAAACTCAGAATTCTTGAACTCTGTAGTTTACATGTCTCTTTGACATGTATTATTAGACTTAATCCTTAGAATCATGCTTCTTTCATTTTTTTGGCAATACTGAGGTATAAGCTCAGCCTCATCCTTACTAGACACTCCCCCAGCCCTGTATGTGTTGGGTATTTTTTAGGATGGGATCTCACTTTATATCCAGGCTAGCCTGAGTTCGATCCTCAGATCTGTGCCTCTGCATGTTGTTTGAATAACAAGTGAGTATCACTGTGCCCAACCGTCAGTTGAGAGCAGAGTCTTGGAAGTTTTTGTCTGCCCTCTCCATCATTTCCTCCCTCCCCTCAGCTCCCCAGGCTGACCTAGAACCACCATCCCTCAATTTATTCTTGCTTTTCAAGAAGCTAGGATTGCCACCACATGTTATGTGGAAGGATTTATTTTAGTATAACAGGATAAAGTAGGGAGAAATGGAAAAGAGAGACAAGCATCTTGCTCCCCAGAAAGAAAATGGGAGTTAAAGCTCTTTTTATGATACGCTTGATTTTTTTAAAATAAAGATCTCAGGTTTCAAATATCCCATATATCTTTATTGATATTGCACAATAGATTTTTATTTTTTAAGGTAAATGATGGCTGGGCCCATGACTGAGAAAACCATAGCTAACAGTTCTGACCCTTTTTAGAATTACTTTTGGAATTTCTGGTTTCACCTATAATAAAGCATTCTTGATTCCTGGGCCTGAGATGATCTAATTCTGTTTAAAATCAAACTTTCCTAGCATCATACTGACACTTAACTGTGGTTGGATTGTAGTTCATAATTTGGTTTTTATGACACAGGAAGACTGATGAAAGGTTGATACAAGTTATTTCAAATTGTTTGATTTTTTAATATTGTAGACTTTACATTTCCAAGTTTCCTTTTATTCCTTATTCTTTTCTTTTCCTTTTCTTCATGTTGGAAATTTTTCTTCTGCTGCCTTCTTCTGTCAATTAAAAGGAAAATCCCACCTAAACGGTAATCTCTGTTGAATATATTTTTCTCCTACTAGTTCATATTAACATTATAAGTGAATTTATTTAACTAATTAAAAAAAAGCCTAATCTATGTTAGAAAAGTAGTATTTAAAAAACTGAAGCCAAGTATATTTGCACAAGCCAACTATTTACATAAAAGGAATATTGAGGATTAAATGTACCAATTATAAATAATTCACCACAGGGTATTTTATCCACATAATTAATTTAAATGTTTGCATTGTTGTTTTTTCTTTTCATCCCTAGCCCACCAAGAAAGCACATTGTGGAGCGCAATACAGAGTTTTACCACATACCCACTCACAGTGACGCCAGCAAGAAGAGACTGATTGAGGACACTGAGGACTGGCGCCCAAGGACTGGAACAACTCAATCTCGCTCCTTCCGAATCCTCGCCCAGATCACCGGGACTGAACATCGTAAGGGAACTAACTTCTAGGGATTTTTTTTTTCCAGTATGAATTTGGGATTGTTCCTTGTTTTCTGTCCACATAGCTATGGATCTTAAAGAATCAATATTCTTTACCCCAGAGAGTGACCCTTTGACCTGTTGGCAGTTATTAAAAAGCAATCCTGAGACATGTCATTCACTTTTAAATTAAGCTGTACATAATATGGGTACTGTAAGTAAGATGCCCAGTCCAGGAGCCTTATATTGAGCAGAAGAGAGGAGGAGGAGGGGAAGGGAGAACTATTGATTCTAGTATTTAGTGATAACATGGTAATTTTTTTAAATTGTCTCTGAAACTTGGACAGTTAATATTGACTAATAACAGTAATTACTTTAGTGACTTTAAGGTTAAAGTAAACTAATATTGGATATTATTATATTTCAGTGAAAGAATCGGAAACTGATAATGCAAAGAAGGCAAAGTAAGTTCTTTGTTTTTAAAATTGAATGCTTCTTTCATGAATGGGCTGATTTGGTTTTTACAGATTTTGAAGTGCAATGGTATGCCATCCTGTCTTTGCAAATAGAAGCTAAGCATTTCAGTGTGGTACCTTTCTTGTGATTTAATTGTACAACTTACAAATTTTCAAGATAGCGATATTGTCTGTATTTATGGCTAAGGTATATTCTCTTTGGTATTGAAATAGACGTGGTCACAGAAGTGGATTTGGGATGCTTTGCTAACCATTTATCTCTAGGAATGAGTCCATGTGTTATCTCACATTTACTTTATAGCATAAAAATGTATGTTTCCAAGAGGCTTCTGTAGACTTCTGCATTTCTAAAAATGTCTACTCTTTAAACTCTTCATTATTTAACCAAAAAAACTATGTGAAATGAGCTTTATTTATAAAGCATGTGTTCTGCATGTTGGAATTAGTATAGAACCTGTTTTCTTTCTCTTTCTTATGACTCTTCTATCACTCTTGTTTTTATTTCCACAGGGAAAAGATACCCCTTCACGTCTTTAGTCCCAAATACACAAAATTACGTGACTGGCACCATGAAGTTTCAGCACGTGCTCTTAACGTACAGTGATTCATGAGCCTAGCAACCCCAAGCAGCCAGCACATACCTTTTCATTCACCTTTTGTTTTTCAACTTCATAGCAAAATCTGTATTACATTTGACCTCTGAAAAAAGTAGAACTTTACTTTTCTAACAAATTCCTATTGTGAAAACCAGAAAGAAAACCTATTGTGCCAATTGGTAGTTCACAAATGTTAAAGCAAAAAAAAAAAGGGACTAGATTTAATTCAGTGTGTTTATATCTGTTTTCATTGTTATTATTATGATCATAATCTTGGACAAGGAATTATTTTCCTAAGTGTATTTGGCTGGTAGATTGAAGCAGAGACAGGAGAGTAAGTCATGTCTTTATTTAATTTTGAAAATACTTCCTTTATGTTATTACATTTCCCAAGATTATTTTAAGGTCATTATTATGGAATACCCAAAGTTCATTGTAAATTAAGTAAGCAAATGTGAGGAGACAAGATTAAAGAGAAGACTTCATTAGAGTTCATTTTTTGTAGATTTAGGTATCCTGGAAAGCAAGGACTGTTCGGAATGGCTATGTGAAGAGGTAGAGGGCAAGATTTTGCTCCTAAACAAAGCAGAGAAGAGAATTCTCTCCTTTTTGCAGTACGGTGTTCTTTTGGTTTGGTTAGATTTAAAATCCTAGTTTCTACCAAAGGAAATATATCTCAGCTGGGATCTTACAGGATAACAGATTTCTAGGTGTCTACTAGGAAGAGATGTATAGAAAAGTAGATTTGCTTTATTTCCAATTAAAAGAAAATGACACAAAATAAAATGCAGTTTAAATGATTTTACTTAGTATTATATTTGCTGTGTATTGCTAATCAATCCTAGGAAGTTTTGTTTTGAGCAATACATTGAAGCCACATACCTGACCAGAAATATTTTGTGCCTTGTAACGTAATGTATTATATATTAGATCTGCATAGTAATAATTGCATTTTGATGTTTGGAAAAGTATTGTAATAAAGTTGCCTTTAACTTAGCTTTATATTTGTCCTCTTTCCTTGAGGCTAGTAACTGTGCCATTGAGGATTTGTTATGGTATCACTTAAGTAAATTAAGTAATTGTCTTGATATTTCGTTTGAAAATAATTTTTAGGTTTTGAAGCTGCTGAAGCTTCATAAAACATATAAACCATGGCAAAGGTCCATATTTATTTTTTTCCTCCTGAAGTATGACCTTACATTATATAACATGGTTTGTAATAAAATGGCATATAAGATAGTTAGACTGTGATACAAAAAAGAATTATTCTTTTATATGAAAATGATCACTAAAGATTCTTTATACATACATCCAATGTTACATTCTTATTTTTCTTTTTTCTCCCTTCCTTCCTTCCTTCCTTCCTTCCTTCCTTCCTTCCTTCCTTCCTTCCTTCCTTCCTTCCTTCCTTCCTTCCTTCCTTCCTTCCTTCCT